ACAAAGTGGCCTTTGGTGAGTGCAAAGGGAACAGGATGTACCAGAGGTTTTTAGTAGCAATTATACTTCATAATAGTAGCTTTCTTTGAATTTGTTTTCCTTTGAGAAATTCTATTGTAATCAACTTAATACAATTTTTGCAGCATAGGTTAGCTACAAGTCTGAGTGGCTGATGTTCTAATCCAGAAGACATTCTTTTGAGTTCAAAAGGAACTTTCTTTCTGTAGCATAAAGAACTTGGGCTCCCAGGTCTGTCACTAGTTTTCTGTGTTTAGATACAGTGTATAAAAGAGGCAAGATCTAGTTCCGATGACTTTTTAAATGTGCTGACTAATGATGTGTCTCGGTACACTTCATTAGAGAGACATTCAGTACACTGCTTTTTGTTAATATATTTCTCTGCTCTTTTTTTCCTTTGCTGTGAGTTAATCTTACATTCCTCAGTTCCATTCTTGGTGTATATTATTCTCTGTAGTGTAACCAACTGTTTTTCTAATACACAGAGTTCATATCCTTTTAATGTCACTAATTTTATGATGTCATTTTAATTGTGTGACTCATCAGTGAAGATGAATCTATCCAACATTAAAATATAGTTCCTTTGTGCCATAATAAACCTGAAAGTGATTTGATTTTTTTTTAAGGGGGTGGCGTGTCTGAAAAGTAGGTAGATTTTTTTTTTGCATGTTCATCTTGAAGCAGATATTCTATTAGCGTTAGAGTTGTGCGTTTAAATGTATATATTCACAACAAACTCAAAATCTTGACATTTCACCTTGATATTTAAAAAATGGTCCGCTTGCATGAAAATTCTGTTAAGCAAAAGAACACCTACCGTAACTTTTTTTTTTTTTTGTCTTCAAATTGCAAAACTTTGGAACACTAGATCATCTAAGTCTAATCTCCTGTATATAACAGGCCACCACACTCAATCCAACAACTGAAAGGAGACTCTCAGGAAATTAGGCTATGTGCCACAGGCAGAGAACTGGACGGACTAAGGTGCCACCAATGTCTAAGGCGCCTGAAATGGCAGAGAAATTACACGCGATTGCTGATATTTTACAGCTGTGATGAGTTAGTTTCCAGAGATTTCAGCTTTAGCGAACTGGTATCTGTAGATTCATATGAGAGGAAATGAAGATTTACTCCTTTTGTACGGAATTTCTGATTGCAGGAGCTAGGTGAATGTGGCAGTGGTGTTGGTGGAGCGTATATATGAAGCATACGTAGGAAGGCATTTGTAGCTGTGACCCATGAACACACGTTTGCCGGAATGGAGTCTGCTTAAACTTCTTTACTTTAATCAGGTGCATCCATACATGGGCAGGACTCTCCCTCTTCTTCCTGGAGGCAAGGCCTGAGGGGGAAAAAGGACTTTGGTTGCTTTTAGAGATGCAGTGAAGAGAGAAGGCGAACAGGTTGGGCTGAGCCCAGCTCCCCCCCAAATCCCTCAGAACAAGTAACAGGAATAACGTAGTACGGTGGAGTTGCTGTCGGGAGAGAAGGCAAGGGATTGAATGACGGACCGATTCAGGGGAAGGGAATTTTAGGTGTGAAGTCATTTATGCCACCGTTCTGCAGTTAAAGTAAATAGGGAGGAGGGATTAATTGAAAAAAAAAATAAAACAAGATGGAACCAAAACTACTCAGTGGATCATAGGTTGCAAAGGATTTGAAGATTGTAAAGGATTAGGGCAGGAATTTCACTATTATGAGTTGTTACAGGAGAAAGGAAGAGGTGAAAAGGATATTTGTATATTATACAGAGATTTAACTACTTCTCTTTATCTTGTTGAGTCCCATGAGAAATCCTGAATAACTGCATGATGCTTCATTGTTCCTCATCCTTCCTTCCCTATTGTTTTTGTGTCACTACTTAAGTCCTGTCAACTTGCTCTGTAAGCAGCACTGTAACCTCTTTACATAGTTTTTACAGTGCCCAGTCTGGTGTGAACCTGATTCCCACAGGAGCCTCTCAACATGGCAGTAATATAAATAACAATCCTACATCCAGTAAAGGGTTACTTAAATTCAAGGTGTGTGCACACCCACGTTCCCCAATCCCAACACGGCCTACTTCCCTCTCTAGCAAGTTACTTCTCTTGGGAAGCTTAAGCATTGAGATGGAGGGAGAGAGAGAGACAGTTGACTACCTCCTGAAGCCATCATAAGAAGTGGCTAAAGGACCATTAGGCCCTTCTATGCCCGTAAGATAGCCACAACCTGGTCTGTAGTGGGAGGGAGCATCCCTGGCCAGCCCAGGGCCTGACCAAAGTCCTCTTTGAGGTTCATGCCTATTGGAACCTCAAACTAAATAAAACTGCTGGTTTGGGTTCTTGATGTAAAAGGTTTGTGCTACCCAACACCTCTAGATTGCTGGTTCAGGTTAGATCAGAGTCACTGAAAGCTGTTACCTCTGGTAAAACTGGCACCCATTGATGGAACTGTGTGGAAACTTGCTGTGTTGATCCCTGTGTTTTGGCTGTTCTGTGGGTAAATGGAATTTTCCTTAGCAAATGTCAATTTGGTATCTCTTTCACAGGCATTAAATTCCCTGTGTGTGGGACTGGTTGCTCAACAGGTGGGTGTTCTCTCAAGCTTTCAAATTTATAAATCCCTATGTAAATAAGGTATAAGACTCTGATTATTTGTGTCCTAGAAAATAAACATTAGTAATCAGTTGTTGGCTGAGATTTGCACAAGCATTTTGCAATGTTTCTCTCCTGACCTCACTCAGCCAACATCACATAGACGCTCTCTTGATTTCTTTGTGCAGTTCCAAGTGAAAATATGAGATTGTAGTCAGTCTGAGAAGGCCAATGCTAATATGAATGACATGGCCTTGGTCTTGGTATAGTAATTTAAAATATCTGCCAAAACTTTTAATTGAAGTTACATTGTGTAATGTCATTATCCAATGACATTTGATGGTCTGGACTGTGTTTGCCTTGCCATCTGTATAACCATTGTAAAATTGCATACAGATCTATAAATACTACACTGAGAGGTCCCTTGAAAATTGAAGTCATCCAGGACCACTTTTAAGGAACACAGTTAATGTTGACAGATTCAACATTTACCATACCTTCTTATTTTCCTTGATGTTTGTTGAAAAATGTCTAATCTTTCTAGGATTTTATCCCCAAAATAAGAGATGTATGTGGTAGCTTACTAAAAAAATCTAAGCAACTTTATAACTAAAATCCATGCATACCAGGGGATTCTACCCTCAACTGATACCTTTTTCATTTAAAAAAAAAATCAATATCAACTTCCAAGGTGGAATAGTACAGTTTTAAACAATGGATGGGGACAGGGGAAAGAGGCTTAAAAATACAGATGGTTGGACAGCCTCCTCCTTTGCCTTTAGACTTGAACCCATGAGCATATATATATATATATATATATATATATATATATATATATAATAAAATTCTAGGATAGTATTAAGCATCAGGGCAAATTTTGCAAAGGGTTGTGTTTTTGTTTAAATTTGGCTACTATATAACTTAATTAGTATGGTAGTATATGTGTTTGCCATGGGAAAGATGGATTTCAGTCTGATATGCAGGCTGTTAAACACAGATCCTATATTGTGACCTAGGTCACCTTCATAAACCTGACAGATGCTTCTTCGCATTCAAATAAAATGCAATAAAAAGGCTTTCATGGAAACTCTGTAGGAAGTAGTGACTGAAGGGTCAAATGGGACCTGTTGGTTCCAATTAAGAGGAACTCTGCCTTAACTTGATTTTCCTTTTATTATAATTGGCTATAAAGAATGTGTTAAGCACAACATATAGCTTGTAGGTTGATTAGAAAATTTAAAAAATTCTAACTCCCTGTATTACTTGACTCAATGAAGCACTAAACTCATTTAGTTTAGATTTATTCCTTTACTACTTGGAACCACAAACAAACATGACTGATTGTGTGATAGTAGCACTTTAATTTCTGGTCATTTTTCCCCATTGCTAGAATTTCAATGCTACAGCTCATGTTGCTCAGATGATATCAGGTCTGTGGTTGAAGATTCTTTCCAGGACACTAAACAACAGTGTGTACTAAATAGTTATATTTTTGCATTAAGTGTACTCTACATTGAATACTCATATTTTGATAGCTCTGCTGGCATTAAATTTCCCAATTAAATAGATTTTAAGAGCTGTTGCTGTACACTTGAGTACAAGGAACAAGATAGGCTACTTGTTTGCTTTTTTTGAAAGCGTTATAAAGTACGACATTTGAACATGGCTCGAGAAAACAAAGCAGTCCCACATTCATAGGTAGGGTTTGAAGTTATCCCTCAGCTAGATTGGTGCTTTTCTCAAAATGATAGGGGGGTTGGGTTGGGTTTTGTTTGTTTGGTTGGTTTTTGTTTTGTTTTTAAACTTTCCTGCATGTTAGTGAGAATGCTCTGTGTTCTTTTACTGTTGTCTTTAACTTGGGGCTTATTGGTGGGTTCTACCATATGCCCTGATAAGACTTTATAGCGACACTCTGTGCATTTTGCTGCATCCTAGGAAACAAGACAACTTTTTGAAATGCATATCATGGAAAGGGTTTAACAGAAAAAACTATCTATTTATGTTAGCTATTTATAGAACTGATCAGAAAAATGGGGGGGAGGACTTTTGTCAATTTCAAAACAGTAAAAATCTTCAAAGGAGAACTTGGATACAACAGTGACTGGTGCTATGTAGACATTAGCTGATCTAGAAGGTTATTTTAAGTTTCTATGTTAGTATGACAGAAAGGAAAAGACTGACTAGATTAAAGTTCTAAGTAAACAAGAGTGGAGGCTTTGCTTTTAGTTTTCCCAAGTATGGTCAAAGATACAAGAATACCTATTGTTAAAGTGTTTATATGTTAAAATCTAAAATTAATGATTGAAGTACATAGCAGACAATTTTCTTTTTTAGGTCAGCTTGTAGTGGCTTTTGTTTTTTGACCCTCAGATAAAGAGAACTTCTCTCTCTCTCTCTCTCTCACTCCAGTTCAGATGGAGAATATGGTGCAGAGGAAAAAAAGAAAGGTGGAAAATCACCCAGCCTGTTGCCACAGACCCCTACTAGTGAGGCTGAATGTTTTGATGACCGGAAAAAAGCTGGCGCCACTAGGTAATGTCAGAAAACTGACTAACAGAAACAGCAGCAATAAAAATTGCTGAGACCCATCCCAGAAAACTGGTGAGAAACAAGATAAATATTTAGTACACATAAGGTCCTGACTGTGGCCCTGCTTGTGCAGCTGCACAAGGGAATAAATGGGATATCTGATGCTCACTTGTGCCAGCTATTGGAACACAGAAAGGAGCATTTCAGGGGAAGAGCAACCTCTTTGGGGCGCCTACATCCAACCTCCTATACAAGTAGGTGGGAGAGGACAGAATGAGGTAGGTAGTGGGCAGAACCATGGCTTCAAAGCCCTTCTGTGCACCAGCTAGCACAGTTATACTGGCATGCCAGGGGAAGTACACTGCACAGATCTAGACCTGGTGCAGGTTACTTCCATTGCAGAACAGGGAGAGACTGGGAGCCAGGCTGTGTCTGGCTCCAGGGCTACTCCTGGTGCAGCACAATGTTGTAGAGTCCTTTACTCATGACAAAGGTATAACTGAGTCCTAATATGGGATCCCTGTGGTAAGAATCTTCTGTCTCTTCAGCCCCTCAGTCACACCATTCTTACAGGGAAACAGAGTTCAATGATAGAAATATCTGTAGCAGGATGTACTAGGTCTTATAAAAAAGATAAATCAAAGAGTTTGGGTGGCAGGGAATACAATAACTCCTACAAAACAAAGGCTGTGATGGCTTTAAAATCCTAGTCAAACAGCTAGATGACTTGCTCACAACCATGGGATGTAAGTCCTAATGCCTTGTCTTCTTGCCTGTTCCTTAGATGACCAATGCAACAACCAACCTAGGATCACAAATTTGCTTAGGAGGCAAACACACATGAGCCTATTGCATCTTCTTGCACATACTGTGTGTTCCCAGCTTCTTCATGTAAAACTCTTGAGGAAGTACAAGAATATCCACAGTAAACTGCACCTCTCCAGTCAGACATTTCTGTCCCAGGAAAAATTTACCAGACGGTCCCTGTACAGTGTTGGTTTTTTTTTGTTCGTTTTTTTTTTGGTAGGGTCAATATTCTTACCATCATTCAAGATTTGAATCCAATAGTGAATATATCAAATGACACACATGATGACTTCCCTTAAAACAAGGACTAGGGATCACCCAATGGAATTAATAAGCAGCAGGTTAAAAACATATATAAGGACTGTGCATTTTGTGAAGAAGTACTTCAATCTGTGAAACTAATTGCCAGGGCATGTCATGAAGGCTTTCACTATAACTGGGCTAAAATAAAATTAGATAAATTCATGGAGGATAGGTCCATCAGTGGCTATTAGCCAAGATGATCATGGATGCAACTCCTTGCTCTGGGTGTCCCTAAGACTCTGTCTGCCAGATGCTGGGACTAGACGACAGAGGACGGATCACGCGATAATTTCCCCGTTCTGTTGATTCCTTCTGAAACATCTAGCATTGGCCACTGTCAGAAGACAGGATACTGGGCTAGATAGATAGATAGACTGTTCTGACCCAGTAAGGGCATCCTCATGTTCTTCTATTCCAAAGAAAAGTCATAGTCTTTGCCTATAAGGTGAACAAAGTATACAAAAGAAATGAACAGTAGTTAATTTATTCCAAACCACAAATGAACATTCCCTCTAACGTTAAAAGGCTTTTCATCGATCTGTGAGACTTGCCATGTTCTGAAATTGATGTTAGCTATCCTTATCCACTTTGCTGTCATCAAGAGACAGGAGAATAAGAATGACAGTTAACAAAGGATGAATATGTGCATAGACAGAAATATACATCCAGATGGTAATAAAACTAATGAAATGACACTAAGCATAGTATTAGGAATGTTTTCTTACCCTCAGGACAAAGATCAGTGTGGACAGCCCCCTCCTGACAACAGATATCAAGAGTGACTCCAAGCCTGAAAGGAAAAAACATGCCTCAAATCAGGTAATATAGAGATAACATGTGTTTTTAGTTAGAGTAAATGACTATACTATCATTGTCTGGCCCAGTAACAGCACTGTTCATTGTACTGTAATGATATTTACAGTGCCTTTGAGATTGAGTGAAACATGGTAAGTGCAAAAGGTGAAGCCTTACTACCAAGTACAGCCACTGAGGATTTGAGACAAAGGAACAATCTTTAACAGGAGCAGAAGATGACTTTTCCAGTTTAGTTCAAAAGATTTTAGAATGTCATTCTTTTGGAAAAGTTCACCCGTGGGATATTCTCTCTCTCGTCTCCCTTGCCCTTTGCATATCTATTCTAAATATAACACATCTACTTACTGGTGCAGATACTCTCATGTGGCAACATCTAGAACCTATATTTCTCACTTTGAAATGTTCTTTGAGGTTTTTCTGTTTGCTGTCCTCTGATTAAGCTGGAGTTTGGATGTAGTTTTGCCCCCAGAGTTGAGTAGTGTTATTTCCCCTCCTGCCCTGCCTTTGTAAATTTCTTCACATCACATACAGATGGTACAGCTGTAGAAGAAAATTCAGCTCTAACTATGGAGTTACTAGTGTCTCCTTCTCTATCATCTCTGCAGAAGATAGTGCTTTATTCAGACAGCGGAGCTGGAGGACTCTCTGTAAAGTTAGTGAAAAGCTCAGTATGGATGTACCACTCTCACACCACTAAAACTAGTGCTATCTTTCTGTTGTATAAAGGTTGTACAAACACAGATAAAATATCCATTGAGCTCTCTTCTCTTAAGGTGTTTAAAAGAAGAGCTATAAGGCAATTTTTTACTTCCAGAACTGGTGAATTTGAGAATAAGGGGGTATTTATTCATTTAACTGCATTTCTGTAGCACTAATCACCATAGTACCTGAGATATAGAGCAAAGGTGGGAAAACTACGGCCCGCGGGGGACCGTCCTGCCGGGCCCCTGAGCCCCTGGCCTGGAGGCCTAGCCCCCGGCCCCTCCCCCGCCGCCACGCAGGCAGCATTCTGGGCAGCGGGGCTGCCTGCTCATGCTGGGCAGCTCGGCAGCGGGGCTGGCTCTGGCTGGGCAGCATGGCATGGTAAGAGGGCTGGGGCCAGAGGCAGAAGGTCCCAGGGGGCAGTCGGAGGACAGGGGTGGTTGGATGGGGCAGAGGTTCAGGGGGGCAGTCAGGGAATGGGGGGAGATTAAATAGGGGGAGGGGTCCTAGGGGGGCAGTTAAGGGCAGGGGTCCTGGAAGGGGGTGGTCAGGGGACAAGGAGCGGGGCGGGGGGGTTGGATGGGTTGGGGTTTTGAGGGGGCAGACAGGGGGTGGGAAGTGGGAGGGGCAAATAGAGGGCAGGGCCCAGGCTGTTTGGAGAGCACAGCCTTCCCTACCCGGCCCTCCATACAGTTTTGCACACGATGTGGCCCTCAAGCCAAAAAGTTTGCCCACCGTGGTATAGAGGATGCTAAAGGAGAAAGCAAGTGTGCAGATTAAGGGGGAGTAAATATATTTTAATGAGGGAATAACCAAAATGTGTTCTGTGTTTGTTTAATTTTAGTTCAAGGCAAATGCTCATTATCACAAGCTATTTCTGGATGTTCCAACTACAGAGCCACTGAAGCAAAGTAAGTACCACACCATTGTTTTATCTGTCCCAGAATGCAAAGTGAATCCATGACAGGACAATGGAAGCTGTCAGTTGTTCATTTACGTAGTGGATCTAGAACATCTGTTATAAGAGCAGTTTAGCTGAATGGATTTTTTCACAGTGTGTATCTTTCTGAACTTAAATGTAAAACCTTCCATTGAGGAGTACAGCATGTGTAAGAAACTTCCTGAATTCTTCTTAACTCATTTGTCTCATCCCTATTTACAATGCATTTTTAATACCTTGAAGGTTTATCAGAGTTCAGACTCGTGAAGGTTTGAGCACTAAAGATTTTTCTGTGCATAACTAACTCTTTCATGTGCTTTAAAGAGATGTATCAATTTATTTTTATGAATAGCACAGGATATTTTTAAAGCACCTCTGCTCATCTTGTGGTTGCCAATCCTGCAGGATCATCCTGGAGCCTCCAGGAATTAAAAAATAATCTTTAATTAAAATTATGTCCTGTGATGAAACCTCCAGGAATACATCCCAACCAAAATTGGCAACCCTAGCTGGACTGCAGGTATTAAAGGTGCTGAATAATCATAGAACTGGAAGGGACCTTGAGAGGTCATCTAGTCCAGTCCCCTGCACTCATGGCAGGACTAGGTATTATCTAGACCATTCCTGACAAGTGTTTGTCTAACCTGCTCTTACAAATCTCCAATGATGGTGATTCCACAACCTCCCTAGGCAATTTATTCCAGTGCTGAACCATCCTGACAGTCAGGAAGTTTTTCCTAATGTCCAACCTAAACCTCCCTTGCTGCAATTTAAGCACATTGCTTCTTGTCCTATCCTCAGAGGGGAAGAAAAAAATTTTTGTCCCTCCTCCTTGTAACAACCTTTTACGTACTTGAAAACTGTTATCATGTCCCCCCTCTGTCTTCTCTTTTCCAGACTAAACAAACCCAATTTTTTCAATCTTCCCTCATAGGTCATGTTTTCTAGACCTTTAATCATTTTTGTTGCTCTCCTTTAGACTCTCTCCAATTTGTCCACATCTTTCCTGAAATGTGGCACCCAGAACTAGACACAATACTCCAGTTGAGGCCTAATCAGCGCGGAGTAGAGCGGAAGAATTACTTCTCGTGTCTTGCTTACAACACTCCTGCTAATACATCCCAGAATGATGTTTGGTCTTTTTTTTTTTTTTGGCAACCGCTTTACACTGCTGACTCATATTTAGCTCATGGTCCATTATGACCCCCAGTTCTCTTTCCTCAGTACTCCTTCGTAGGCAGTCATTTCCCATTTTGTGTGTGCGCAACTGATTGTTCCTTCCTAAATGGAGTACTTTGCATTTGTCCTTTTACTGAATTTCATCCTATTTACTTCAGACCATTTCTCCAGTTTGTCCAGATCATTTTGAATTTTAATCCTATCCTCCAAAGCACTTGCAACCCCTCCCAGTTTGGTATTGTCCACAGACTTTATAAGTGTACTCTCTACACCATTATCTAAATCATTGATGAAGATATTGAACAGAACCGGATCCAGAACTGATCCCTGTGGGACCCCACGCATTATGTCCTTCCAGCATGACTGTGAACCACTGATAACGACTCTCTGAGAACGGTTTTCCAACCAGTTTTGCACCCACCTTATAGTAGCTCCATCTAGGTTGCATTTCCCTAGTTTGTTTATGAGAAGGCTATGCAAGACCGTATCAAAAGCTTTACTAAAGTCAAGATATACCACATCTACCGCTTTTCCCCCTCTTTACCCCCCCCCCCACCTCCACAAGGCTTTTTACACTGTCAAAGAAAGCTATCGGATTGGTTTGACACAATTTGTTCTTGACAAATCCATGCCGATTGTTCCTTATCACCTTATTATCTTCTAGATGTTTGCAAATTGATTGGTTAATTATTTGCTCCATTCTCTTTCCGGGTACCAAAGTTAAGCTGACTGGTCTGTAATTCCCTGGATTGTCCTTATTTCCCTTTTTTTATTATTCTTTTTAATGTTTATAGGTTTTACCTGTGCTCTACAGAAAGAAATTCTGTACCAAGGAAAGTTATTTATATCTGAAAACTGGATTTGTTTTCATTCCAAGGTCTTTGGTAAAGACACCAAGGTTAGTAGCATCTCTGTGTACAAAAAGCAATGAAATTCTCTGGGATCTTGGTGATTTCTAGAAATTGACACTCTTCTAATATGCACGAGTGGTGTTAAGCCTTTTATCTTCTTGCCTGAGCATTACTGAACACTAACAACTATATTGCAGTAATATCCAAAAGCACCAGTCAGCCATTTTGCAGTCTCAAAAGCCCAAAGTCAAAGTTGGGGAGGAGAGCAAGAAAAGGCATTCAATATGCAGTGATCACAGTACTGACAAGCCCACATCTTGTTTGTGCCATGTCTGAATTTTTTTAATGTTTGTTTATAATTACTTGTACTACAAATCTAGAGGTGTTGGGGGGACGGTCTGGGTAGAAGTGAAAGAGAAGAGAGAAATAAAAAGGGGATGGAGGAGACAAAGAGGAGAAGCACAATTGACAGGGTGTGGTTTGGGAGTTGAGGAGGTGTGGGAAGGTAGGGGAAACACATTCTCCCAACCACTGTTTTACTCCCTCTGTGGAGTGACTGAGGGAGGCCACTGGACCCAGTGCTCTGTATTCTTGCCTGTGGGTATGCTGGGAAGGGGAGAGGTGGGTTGTGGAGGTTTCAGACTTATCCCTGTAGTCAGGACTGGCTGTTTTGGGAAAGAGATTTTCATGTTTGAAGTTAATCTAGTTGTTGTATATCAAGGTATGAAGGCTCCAAGTACGTCTTGGGCCCTGTTACACTAGGCACTGTACATATGGATAATAAGAGAAGGTCCCTGCCTGAAGAGATTTCTGTTTTCAACATGAATTTTGCCCTTACTTCTTGTCCTTGGGTTCTCACTGAAACAAATCAGTGTAGCTGAGTTTTGGGGGGTGGTTCTTTTTAGTGGGAATACTGTGCTCTGAACGTTTAAAATACTTGTACATTTCCTTGAATGAGAATCAGATTTAGATGCACACCCTTTCCTCGTCCTATAATTACTAGGATGCTGATGCCATACCTTTTGACTTAGTTAGAGAAATGGATTAAAAAGTTATCAGCCCAGGAAGGAAATCAGGTCAAAGGCCTTAATAGGACACACCTGATATTTGGAGGAATTTTTTTTCAGAATGTAAAATAGATTTAAAGAATGATAAATTGTGGTTCATAATAGTAGCTTATTGCATTTGCAAGGTGTGCTATTACATGACTCAGGTAACTGAGGTACTGTTTGTTGTGAATTAATAGATTGCTTTAGTCATAGTTAATTTTTTGACATGAATGGGGAAATGGCACAAGTGTTTAATAACAGCCATAGAGAGCAAATAAGGAAGCTGAAATTAACAAAAGGGTCATGTTGTGCCACCCTTGCTCATTGAGTACAAACTTCCTTGGCATGTAGTTCCACTGAAATTAATGAGACTATTTGTAGAGTAAGCTGATGCTCAGCACAAGTATCAGTGGCAGATTTTGGCCCAAACTGAAGTTCAGCTTTAAAGTATGCAAGCTAACATACGTGAGTAAATGTAATCTGACACGCACTGAATGGGAGGGATAAACCTGGGAAGTCAGTAATGCGGAAAGAGAGTTAAGAATTAGACATTTAGCAATGTGTTATGATTTCAAAATAAATTATAGTTTGGGGGTGACATATGGGACACAGAAACATCCCATCATAGTGCATGGGGCTATACAGTGTCTCTGTATATGATTGTGATGCAACTGCACCAAAGTTACCTGTTGGAAAGATACTGAGAAATTGAAGGAATTCAGAGACTAGTAACGATGATTAGCAATCAGGAAGGACTGACCTACAAGAAAAGACTTAAAATAAACATTCATAACTTTGCTAAGTAGCAGCTAATGAACCTGTATGCGTGCATGATAAGCCTACAAATATTTCACAGGTGCCAACAACAAAAAGGGGAAGAGAATAGGAAATGTAATTAGGAATAATATAATAATGTTCCATTGCTTGGAACTCTTAAAACTAGTCTGACCAAAAACAGGAAAAGTTGTCATAAGAAACAATTCCTTACTGAAAAGGAGCTGGACTACACAATCTAATGGATGTTTTCTATCTCTAACTTCTGTTTCTATAAGGTAGTATTGTTTTAAGCCCTGAGAAAGGTAGCTATTTCAACTAATCAGTTCTCAGAGTATGAAGTATAAGTGGCGAGTTCTGGTATGACTGATTTGTTCTGAGTAGCAAAGCCCTATTTGTTGAATAAGTAAGAGGTTTTTATTGCAATGCTGTTTAAACCTCAAAAGATGATTTAGCAGGTTTCCTCCTGGTGCCTCTCCAGGTAGCCACATCTTGGTACTGGAGCCTAGCAGGCCCTCTTCTGGGCTGTGCAACAACTACAAGTGTGGTTCCCAAGAGTGAATCACACTTCTGAATCACAATATCAGGTTGTCCTGCGTAGTTCTCTACTTGTTTTTTTCCAAGTTGTCCACAGTTTCAGTCCTCTGGACAGTGAGTATTGCAGATGGATAGCACAGATGGGTAGAAGTGAAATGGTCTCACAGTGATTCTCCCTGGTAAACAATTGCTGGCATAAGAGTGTAGGAAATGGGTATTCCATCCCACTTAGATTTTTTTTTTCCTCTTTTTGAACTAGGATATCACAGCTAATATCGGCCACCAAAATAGTATGAAGCAGAAACTTCATTAAACTTTAGCACAGTAGGAATTACTCTATTTGATGAAGTTTGCAGAATATCTTTTTAATTGACCTATTTCTATTTAAATATATTTATTTGATAATGCTGATATGGAGTCATTTTCCAGAAAAAATTTACAAACAAAGCCCTGTTCAGAAATTCTTACCATCTAACTACACAACATATGATACAAACAAGGGGTAAAGGCATAGGTACTGGAATTAGAAGTTCTGGGGGTGCTTCTGCACCCCCTGGCTTGAAGTGGTTTACATCATATACAGGGTTTACAGTTTGGTTCAATGGCTCTCAGCACACACACCAGACAAATTGTTCTAGCGTCCCTGGGGAAAGGTAAAGAAAGCAGGTTGAGGTAGACAGGCAATTTTCAGTAGAGTTTTAAAGAAGTGGGTTAGAGGCATTCTGATCTTGATGTGAAAACAGCATAGTAAGCAGGCAAAGTAGAAGTTCATGTATACACACACACAAAATTGAGAACTGGAGGTGGGCCAGAGTTGCAAATTTTGGATCCAAGCCTCCCAAACCCTCAAGGGTTTTGAACATGAAGCTTTGATTCAGGTCCATCTCTTTTATCAATAAACTTATTAGCAATGGCTTTTGATCAAAGTGGCCTTGACCTCTTCTCTAGCCTTTAGGGCAAGGGTAGAGTATCCATTTGGTTAGCCATCCCTAAAATGGTGAATGACAAAATGTCATACCCAGGCTAAATATAAGCAAAAGCATTGGTGATGATAGGCAGGTTAGCCAAAACATAATGAGAGACCATTTCATGTCTCAGTACTGCTTTCCTTAGAGGCCCTTCATAAACAGAAGCTAACAACTAAAAGATGATAGATTATTCCATAAATAAAGTCTATTTCAATTTATTATAATTCTTCGTTTGCAGTACTATACTTTCAATTCAGTGCTATGAAAGGTCATTTATTAGCCAAATTTTAGACACATTCCCCCCTCTCCTAATCTCTCGCATGTCTTAGCCCTGGTCTACACTACGGGGCTAGGTCGAATTTAGCCAAGTTAGGTCGATTTTAAAATGAATGCGTCTACACAACCAACCCCGTTCCATCGACCTAAAGGGCTCTTAAAATTGACTTCTGTACTTCTCCCTGGTGAGGGGAGTAGTGCTAAAATGGACCTTGCTGGGTCGAATTTGGGGTAGTGCAGACACAATTTGATGGTATTGGCCTCCGGGAGCTATCCCAGAGAGCTCCAATGTGACGGCTCTGGACAGCACTTTGAACTCTGATGCACTAGCCAGGTACACAGGAAAAGCCCCAGGAAATTTTGAATTTTATTTCCTGTTTGGTCAGCGTGGCAAGCTCAGCAGCACAGTTGACCATGCAGTCCCCCCAGAATTGCAAACGAGCTCCAGCATGGATCAAAAGGGAGACACTGGATCTGATTGCTGTATGGGGAGAAGAATCTGTGCAGGCCGAACTCCAATCAAAAAGAAGAAATGCTAGTATATATGCCAAAATCTCACAGGGCATGGTTGAGAGAGACTACAACAAGGACACACAGCAGTGCCGCATGAAAGTCAAGGAGCTCAGGCAAGCCTACCAAAAGACAAAGGAGGCAAACGGTCGCTCCAAGTCAGAGCCACATACATGCCGCTTCTATGATCAGCTGTATGGCATTCTGGGGGGGGACCCTACCACTACCCCACCACTGTCCATGGACACCTGAAAGGGGGGAGTCTCACACAAAAGGAAGGAGAATTTTGTGGATGAGGAAGAGGAGGAGGAGAATGCGCAGCAGGCAAGCAGTGAATCCGTTCTCCCCAGCAGCCAGGAGCCAATACCCTCCCAAGGCGGGATCCCCGACCCTGAAGCTGGAGAAGGCGGCTCTGGTGAGTGCACATTTGTAACTACGGTACAGGGTTTAAAAGCAATAGTGTTTAATGTTTGATTTGCCCTGAAGAATTAGGATGCATTCGTGGCCAGTACAGCTACTGGAAAAGTCTGTTAACGTGTCTGGGGATGGAGTGGGAATCCTCCAGGGACATCTCCATGAAGCTCTCCTGGAGGAACTCTGAAAGCCTTTGCAGAAGGTTTCTGGGGAGGGCGGCCTTATTTCGTCCTCCACGGTAGGACACTTTACCACACCAAGCCAGTAGCAAGAAGTCTGGAATCATTGCAGCGCAAAGCATTCAATTCAAGCATTCAATTCAACATTCAAGTCGTATTCAAGCAACATTCGGTCTATATCTTTCTGTGTTAGCCTCAGGAGAGGGATATCATTCATGGTCACCTGGTTGAAATAGGGGAATTTTTGTAAGGGAACAGTAAAAGGACCCCGTTCATGCTGGGTTGTTTGTGTTTGGCTAAAAAGGACCATCCCGGAGAATAGCCATGCAGTGGGGGGCAGAAGGTGTGTGCTGCACATTCATCCGAAAACCGCGGCCCCTCCTTTTAAATGTGAAACCAACCGGCATTCCTTGCTATGGGAAAGGATGGCACTGCAGTTTGAAACCATTCCCACCTGTTATGAACACAAGTGCCAACTTTTGTTGGTGTCAGTGGGTGCTTGCACCCTGGCCCCACCCCGACTCCGCACCTCCCTGCCCCTGTTGGATCCCTCCCCAAATCCCTGCCCTGGCCCCACCTCTTCCCAAAGCACACTGCATCCCCTTCCTCCCCTGTCCCTTCCAGGCTTGCCACGCGAAACAGGTGTTTCACGGCACAAGTGCTGGGAGGGAGAGAGGAGAAGCAGGATGCATCGGCCCGCTCAGGGGTGGAGGTGGAGCGGAGCGTGAAAGTGAGCTGGCGGGGCGGGGAGCTGCCGGTGGGTGCTCCGCACCCACCAATTTTTCCCATGGAGTCGGCGCCTATGGTTATGAAGCTGTAAGAAGCCAACCCCGTTTACCCTTTGGCTTACCATGGCTGCCTGAAAACCAAATTCTTTTGCCCAGCCATTTGTGATATGTCACCATACCGGCAGGCGCTCAATATAAAAGGCAAAATGCAATCTTGTACCTAAAGCACATGTGCTGTCTGCTGTGAATTGCTTGATTCACTATGACAGAGTCTCCCTTTTGTTCTCAGAAATGTATCATCTTAAATTTTACTCTCCCTTTTTATCTCCCCCCAGATGCAAATGTTTCTATGCTCCCTCTATCATCTCCATCCCTGAGGTTATCACAGATTAGAAGGCAAAAAAAATATTTTTGAAGCTTATGCAGTGCTCCCACACTGATAGGGCACAGCTTAATGCATGGAGGCACTCAGTGGCAGAGGCCAGGAAAGAATTAAGTGAGCGCGAAGAGCGGAGGCAGGAGGCGATGCTGAGGCTAATGGGGGAGCAAGTGGACATGATGAAGCATCTGTTGGAGCTGAAGGAAAGCCAACAAGAGCACAGATCCCCGCTACATCCATTGTACAACCGCCTGCCCTCCTCCCCAAGTTCCATATCCTCCTCACCCAGATGCCCAAGAACGTGGAGGGGAGGCTCCAGGCACCCAACCCCTCCACTCCAGAGGATGGCCCAAGCAACAGAAGGCTGCCATTCAAACAGTTTTGATTTGTAGTGTGGCTACAATAAGCAATGTGATCTTGTCCTTCCCTCCTCTCTCACCCGGGCTACCTTGTCAGTTATCTCACTTTTTTTTTTTAAAATTAATAAAGAAAAAATGCATGGTTTCAAAACAATAGTTACTTTATTTCCTTTGCCAGCTGTGATCGAAGGGGGGAGGGTGGTTGGCTTACAGGAAATTAAAATCAACAAAGGGGGTAGGTTTGCAGCAAGGAGAAACACACACAACTGTCACACTGTAGGCTGGCCAATCATGAAACTGGTTTTCAAAGCCTCTCTAATGCGCAGTGCGCCTAGCTGTGCTCTTCTAATCATCCTGCTATCTGGCACCAGGCAATTTGCCTCAACCTTCCACCCCACCATAAACGTCTCCCCCTTACTTTCTCAGAAATTATGGAGCACACAGCAAGCAGCAATAACAATGGGAATGTTGGTTGCGCTGAGATCTAACCTAGTCAGCAAACAGCGTCAGCAAGCTTTGAAACATCCAAAGGCAGATTCTACCACCATTCTGCACTTGCTCAGCCTATAGTTGAACTGCTCCTTAGTACTGTCCAGGCTGCCTGTGTATGGCTTCATGAGCCATGGGAGTAAGGGGTAGACTGGGTCCCCAAGGATAACTATAAGCATTTCAACATCCCCAACAGTAATTTTCTGGTCTGGGAAGTAAGTCCCTTCTTGCAGCTGCTCGAACAGCCCGGAGTTCGTAAAGATGCAAGCATCATGCACCTTTCCCAGCCATCCCACCTTGATGTCGGTGAAATGTCCCTTGTGATCCACCAGTGCTTGCAGAACCATTGAGAAGTACCCCTTGCGGTTTACATACTGGTTGGCAATGTGGTCCAGTGCCAAAATAGGGATATGCATTCCGTCTATCACCCCACCACAGTTAGGGAACCCCATTGCAGCAAAGCCATCCAATATGACCTGCACATTTCTCATAGTCACTAACCTTGAGAACAGAATGTCAATGATTGCATTGGCTACTTGGATCACAGCAGTCCACACAAGTAGACTTGCCCACTCCAAATTGATTCCCGACTGACCGGTAGTAGTCAGGCGTTGCAAGTTTCCACAAGGCTATTGCCACTCGTTTCTCAACTGTCAGGACAGCTCTCATCTTGGTATTCCTGCACTTCAGGGCAGGGGAAAGCAACTCACAAAGTCCAAGGAAAGTGGCCTTATGCCTGCAAAAGTTTCGCAGCCACTATGAATCATCCCATACTCGCAACACTATGCGGTCGCACCAGACTGTGCTTGTTTGCCGGGCCCAGAATCAGTGTTCCACTGTATCAACCAGCCCCGCTGCCACCATGATGTCCCAATTGCCACAGCCCATGCTTTCAGGAAGTCAGTGTCCATGTCCTCATCACAATCATCCTCGTGCTGGCGTCTCTTAGCCCAGTTCTGCACATACTCCAGGATCATGCGCAAGGTGTTTACAATGCTCACAGCAGCAGCGGTGAACTGAGCGGGCTCCATGCTTGCCATGGTATGGCGTCTGCATGGATAACCCAGGAAAAAAGGCGTGAAATGATTGTCTGCCGTTGCTTTCACGGAGGGAGGGAGGGAGGGGCGACTGACAACGTGTACCCAAAACCACCTGCAATAATGTTTTTGCCCCATCAGGCATTGGGAGCTTAACCCAGAATTCCAATGGGCAGCGGAGACTACGAGAACTGTGGGATAGCTACCCACAGTGCACCACTCTGTAAGTCGATGCTAGCCACAGTATTGAGGACGCACTCTGCCGACTTAATGCGCTTAGTGGGGACGTACACAATTGACTGTATAAAATCTACTTCTATAAAATCGACCTAATTTTGTAGTGTAGACATACCCTTAGTCTGACTGATGCAGAGTCCAGAGAGAAGTGTAAATAACAGGAATTCTAACAAGGTGACCATTCCATCCTCTGTATAGCCTAAAGTATCACATCTGCCTGTCTTGCTACCAGCCAGTCTTTTATTGGAAATAGAGCCTGCCCTTCATGCTCCTCTAGTAATATGGGATTTTGAAGTGGATCCCATACCAAACCCCTGAACTAAAACACCCTGAAACTTAAGAGAAGTCCTCATTAGAAACCAAACTTTGTGATCAAGCATATGATCTTGCTAATGAAGCTGTATGGAACTATAGGAAGGAAAAGTATTGAAAGTACTGACCTATGTAAAGTATAATTTGCAGGTGTATTTGCAAAAAGGATGAACAGCATACATGGAGATGTGTTTATATTTAGCATGGATTGGCTAAATCCTTTTAGTTATGCTGAAAGATCTGAACCGTTTACTCAGCTGCTTGTCACAAACTAGGCACTGTATAAGTAGTGGGGCAGAGTTTGAAATATGTTGATTCTTTGACCTGTATCTCCTGCAATCTATGTTCTGGAATGTGTCTTTTCCTAAATAGTCTGCTACGGGACCTTGCTTCTTTTACACCATTTGCTGACCCGCATGTTCTGCAAAATTAGAATAAATTCAGACCTCTTCTGAAAACTCTAGACCCCAGAAAGGGGGAGGGGAATTGCTTTTGTTTCTTACATGCTTCACAAACTCTTGTTAGAGTAAAACATAGCTGATGAATTAACATTTACACTTGAGCGAGATAAAAAAAAAGAGTTCCTTACCTCAACCCACACCTATTGTGTGTAACAATCAAAACGAGGCCCTGGAAAAGATGAGCTAGTGTTTCAACATTCTTGATCTATGTTAGTGGATTGGTTTTCACATGAACTGCTACTTGTATATAACCAATAAGGTGACTGAAGTATTATATTATTTTGGCATTCTAACAATGTGATCATTTCATTTCAGATTAGTATTCCTGTGCTCTCCATAACACTAATAAAGAAAACCAAAACTGCCCTTCTGGTGCCAAATGCTCTGGTCATAGCAACAGTCAGTGACCGGGTAAGTGTGGGGTTATCTTTGACCTCTCTTGCTTTCTTCTCTACTTATTCCTAGAATTTGTCATGGTGGAATCTTGAGGGAGCAGTTGCCAGGTGGCTGTTTTAGAATATAGAGGCACAGACCAGTCCCATGTGGCCATTTTAGTGTTACACAAAACCTAGCCCTGCAGGATTTGACCAACTCTACAGCCTGAAGCACCCCTCTGAGGGGACCTTCTCTTTGCCTGTCCTGTGGGAAAGGGGTGCTTCAATCTTCCAGAGTATCATATTTCCCCTGGGACCCACAGGAGATGCAGCTTTTCAGGGTACTGAGAGAGGAGAGGGGTATAGAGAAGCAGGGCACCAGCAGCTCTCCATGGACCTGCAAACCTCCTAGATTACTACATGGCAATCCAGGATGGAGCTAAAACAGCTGAGGAAATGAACCTATTTTGGGGGCCCTTTATGAAGCTGCAGGGAGGCCTGTCCAGTGGCAGCAGGGCTTGGAGGGAAAAGTATCATCTACTGGATCAGCAGCCCCACCTCCTACAGCACCTCCGACTCTGCTTGGTGATCTCCTGTCTAACCAGTAACAATCTAATTTAGTTCAATTCCAACATAATAGCAGCCCATGTTAGTATTCAGGATTGTTTCTTCTTTTTTGTTGTCTTTTTTAAAAATATCTGAGAATTCCTACAATATCAATGGAAGGAGTCTGATTTTCAATATAATTTGACCAGGGAGGGAAGGGTAAGGCAAGTTGATTCCCGCCAATTTGAGTGGGATGGGGAAACTATACTGCACCTATTCTTATAGTCCTTACCAAGCAAAATTTCTGAATCTTACCTGGGTGTGGACTGCAGGCTTTGGCAAATTATGATAAGCCTTGTCCACATTTCTTTGTAAAACTCTTAAACTGTGTTCTTTACTTCATATCTTCTAGGCCATGCTTTACTATCTGCAGGCCTTTGAAAGTAATTGCTGAACCAGCAAGTGCACCCTGTTAATAATTGATAAGACGAAACTAGTGCAAAATATTTTTTCAAACAATAATTATGTAAATTATTACTTTTGTCTTTCAGTACATATTTGTCTCCTTACTCTCCAGAGACACAACCTACAAGCTATTAAAATCTGTCTGTAGACACTTAGAGGTAAGTATTGACAGAGTGAAGTTGTGAAGCTCAGTTATGTTCCTTATGACTGCTTTTTATTTTAAAGAATAGCAATTAGATAAGTATAATTATATATATAAATATTATATTATTTATTTAAAAATTGCCTTTCAGGATATAAGTGTTGGCAACAGTCCCAATCCTTCTTCCGCCGAAAACAGCTTCAGGGCCAATCGCCCTATGACCCTGTCTTTGGTAAGATGGTTTATTTTGCTTTTGATAAAGTTCCATTTATTAAAGTCCAAATTGTCCAAACTCTTCTCATGTCTCAAACTGAAGGAAAGCTTGACACACACATGTTCTGTCACCTCAGAAATCTCTGAATAAACTGCAAATGGTCGGTGATACCAGCACAGATGTAATCTTCTCTCCACAAGAATGATGCATGAATAGATGTGATGTCTGTATATGTGCTCTGTGTATATAACAGTGCCCGTTATTAAGGTCTGTGTGTGGGCTGTGTGCTGACTTGCATTTTTCTTCCTTTCCACATGCCTATATTTCCAGCAGTCAGTCTTTCACTATCATCTTTGCTAATTTAGAGTTGCAGTAAGTGGCTTCCCTTGCCACTGAAGGCAGAATAACAGGCTTCTCAAAGCTTCCACTTGCAAACTTTCCCCTACATGCCGGGTCAGTTCGTTGGTCTGAAGAAAAGCTGCTGTTCAGGAACTGACGTCAATAACCAAAAAGTTCAAGCTATAGCTATACTAAATTCTTCATCTATAGAGTGACACCTTTTTAATTTCTGCTGCTCTTGGTACAGATTTCAGATACAGGTAACCCAAAGTAATGGGGTAAAAACAAATAATCTTCATAATTTTAGGCCTTGCCTGTTCTTTTCCATGACTTTTTTGTCCCTTCAGGATTTCAATGAAGACTACTCAGATCTGGAAGGTATAGTGCACCGTCGGAGACAAGAGTTGGAAGAGTCTAGTAGTACTGGCTCTCAGACCCCTGAATCAGAACACTTCCAAGGTCAGCATAATCTCAATATTTTAAGACTGAAAGTATTTAGAGCAGTGTTTTCCAAAATGTGGGGTACATCCTCCAAAGGTCAGGTGACATGAAAGTTTAGCCTTGAGAGTACAGATGGATGTCTCAATTTCTCCAGAGTCTCAGCTTTGATTTAAAAAAAATTGTCTAGCTGTCCTGGGTTGTGAAGAAAACCTTCAGAACATAATCCAAGTGTAACCAAGGCAACAACATCTGCCGAAGTCTGCTGGCAGCCTGAAGCAATGGTTCTGAGGTGTGAATTGCACCATTCATTTCAGTGGGTGTTAAATCAAATGCTAATGACCATGCTTTAGATATCCACATTCCCCATCAAATCATTTAGGAATGGAGAGGAAGTATCATACTATGAAGATCTACACCATGTTTTCCCAAAGTGTGGTTTGGGTGGAGGAGAGGAAAGGACAGAAGATGGATAAATTAAGATAAGTAGGCCTTTAACATTACATCCAGCTTCCAGCCATTGGGTGGTGTTATCCCTTTGTCTGCTGATTAGAGCACTCTCTACTATCAAAAACTTTCTTTGCATGTAGGTACTTATAGATACCTCTTAACCTTCTTTTAAATATGCTAATAGATCAAGCTGCTTTACTCTTGCTTCAGGCATATTTTCCACACTTTGAATCATTCTTGTAGCTCTTTTCTGAATCCATTCCAATCTTTCAACCTCCTTTTAGAAGTTTGAACGCCCGAACTGAATCCAGTAGTCTAGCAAGAGGAAGCATGATCCAGTTTAAGGTGCTAGACTGGAATTTGGATTCAGTTGCCTGCTCTGCCTCAGACTTCCTGTGGGACCTTAGAGTTCGTTTCCCAGTTCCCTATCTGCAAAATAGGGTAGTAGCATTTCTAACAGGGATGGAGTGAAAATAAATACATTAAAGAATGAGGCACTCAGTTACTATGGTAATGGGACATATATAACCACCTTAGATAGATAGTAATGGTCTCAGCAATACCGTATATAGAGATAAGACCACTTCCCTATTTCTACTTGGTATTCCCATTTGCTAGGCTTCTCAGAGTATGTCTACGCTCCAGCTGAGAGCATGCTTCCCAGGGCGAGTAGACAAGACATGCATTAGCTCTACTCAATCGAGCATGCTAAAAATAGCCATGTAGCCCTGATAGCACGGGCAGTGGCTCAGGCTAGCCACCCGAGTACAAACTCACCTGGACCCCTTCGGTATGTATTTGGGCACCTAGTCCAAGCTGCCACCCCCAGCTATACAGCTATTTCTAGCACATTCGCTCAAACAGAGCTAGCGTGTGTCTATCTACTCACACTGGGAAGCAAAGTGAAGCACTTGCACTTACATTGTAAGTCTTTTTGTACAGGGCCAGCCCTATGTTTTTTGTCGCACAGGGCACAAAATATTTTTTGTGCCCCCAAGCATGGTAACTTGCCACCCTGCAATGTTGGCACTCAGGGCAGCCATCCTGGTCTCCTGCCCTGAGGCTCGGTCTGTCTTTGCAGAGTTAAGGGCATTAAACTCTGTTCCTAGGATCAAGAACCTAATTTACTTTTCACTTCGAGTGACTGGGGTGATTTGTATATGCGTTTGTACAGGAAACCAGATTAAGTTCATGAAGTATTGTCTACTGCATTAATTTTCAGTTTTATATGTCAAGTAGCAATGTAACTTTCTCCTTCTCTGCTGATCCATTCCTAATATGAACAGCTGAATTCCTGCTTTATCCCATATAAGTTTAAGTAAATATGTGCTTTTGTGTCATGGTGCTAGATAGATAAAACAAAAACTATGTATCCTTGAAGCCTTGGGAAGTATCGCAGATGTTTCAGTTTTTCCACCATTTTATTAGAAGAGGCTGGCTTTGGCCATATGAGCTTATTCACTCAAGGTTCTTTGAACAGTATCTGCAAATGCCTCAATATATACAAAGTTATCCTTCCTTAGCTCTGTGTTTGCTTGATGTAATTTCTTTCTGTAACCAGTCATCCCAAAACATTGCATGAGGAAGGCGGGAGGCAGAGAGGATTTTGTTGCATCCTTTAATTATAATGGGAATAGTGGAGTGTCAATCTTTGCAATCTAAAGAAATAAGGCAAAAATCTGCTATGTTACACTAGTGTAAGTAGTGCCAATGTGCCCTGAGTGTCTAGTACTTAAGTTATTTTACACCTCTTGGGCCATTCTGTGTTCTACCTTGCAATTCCAAATCATTATCTGTATCATATGAAAAGCCATTTTAATAACAGTAACTTCAAATGAGGCAGTGTATCAATCCTCTTTTGTTTAGAATAGCCTAAATTATTTTTGGGAAACTGTTCTGTGCTAGTCAGGAGGTCAGACTAGATGATCACAATCGTCCCCTCTGGCCTTAGAATCTATGAATCTATTAACTGGGTTAGGTTTAATTTAGCAGGGCTTTTTACTTGCCACAAAGTTTTATTTCCCCCCATGTTTACCACGTGGGTTTCTGAAATGACTATTTGGTGGTGTTAGGGAGCAACAACTAAACTGCTGTGTTGCTACCACCCGCTGAACACATTTCAGTTTCAGCTCACATTTCCATGGCAGTATGGCTATCTCCCCAGTTATATGGCCAGCTTTTCTAATACTTGCATTCTCTAGGCTGCTTCAAGAGTGTAGAATTCTGTCCTGCAGGAACTAAGAACTTCCTTGTACCACTCTATTCAAAGTGCACTTCTCTAACCTGCTTTCACAAGTAAAAGCCCAGCATCCCATTTTAGTTTTAAAAAAACTAGCTTAATGCATCATTGCGACATACTCAGATACCACAGTTACAGGTATGCTATAAGAACCTGAACTGAATAGAATTAGTTTAATTGGATTCCTAAATATAACTACCATCCAATTTCCAGCAAAATAAATTGGCAGTCAAAGAGAATGGCTGGTCAGTGCGTGGCTAATGGCAGAACCTGTGCTTTAGTCACATTGACCTGATAAAAAGAAAAGGAGTACTTGTGGCACCTTAGAGACTAACCAATTTATTTGAGTATGAGCTTTCGTGAGCTACAGCTCACTTCATCGGATGCATACCGTGGAAACTGCAGCAGACTTTATATACACACAGAGAATATGAAACAAAACCTCCTCCCACCCCACTGTCCTGCTGGTAATAGCTTATCTAAAGTGATCATCAGGTTGGGCCATTTCCAGCACAAATCCAGGTTTTCTCACCCTCCACCCCCCCACACAAACTCACTATCTTGCTGGTGATAGCTCATCCAAAGTGACCACTCTCCCTACAATGTGTATGATAATCAAGTTGGGCCATTTCCAGCACAAATCCAGGTTCTCTCACCCCCCTCCCAAAAACCACACACACAAACTCACTATCTTGCTGGTAATAGCTCATCCAAAGTGACCACTCTCCCTACAATGTGCATGATAATCAAGGTGGGCCATTTCCAGCACAAATCCAGGTTTTCTCAACCCCCCCCACCCCCATACACACACAAACTCACTCTCCTGCTGGTAATAGCTCATCCAAACTGACCACTCTCCAAGTTTAAATCCAAGTTAAACCAGAACATTGGGGGGGGGGGGGGGTAGGAAAAAACAAGGAGCCTATTTCCCCTTGTTTTTTCCTACCCCCCCCCCCCCAGATGTTCTGGTTTAACTTGGATTTAAACTTGGAGAGTGGTCAGTTTGGATGAGCTATTACCAGCAGGAGAGTGAGTTTGTGTGTGTATGGGGGTGGGGGTGGGGGTGTGAGAAAACCTGGATTTGTGCTGGAAATGGCCCACCTTGATTATCATGCACATTGTAGGGAGAGTGGTCACTTTGGATGAGCTATCACCAGCAGGAGAGTGAATTTGTGTGGGGGGGTGGAGGGTGAGAAAACCTGGATTTGTGCTGGAAATGGCCCAACCTGATGATCACTTTAGATAAGCTATTACCAGCAGGACAGTGGGGTGGGAGGAGGTATTGTTCCATATTCTCTGTGTGTATATAAAGTCTGCTGCAGTTTCCACGGTATGCATCCGATGAAGTGAGCTGTAGCTCACAAAAGCTCATGCTCAAATAAATTGGTTAGTCTCTAAGGTGCCACAAGTACTCCTTTTCTTTTTGCGAATACAGACTAACACGGCTGTTACTCTGAAAATTGACCTGATAGTGGTTTTTACCAAAATAGCAAGCTATTATTTTCAGTGCTCTTGGTTTCAAAAGGGGAGGTTCTAGGATTAGTAACCATGTCATCAACATGTCACTTCCACTCATAATATAGGAAACCTTCTTTTAGGACTAAATATTTGTTTGTACCTTCTTGAAGAGGAGATAGAGTAATTTTCAAAAAACAAAACAAAACATATTTCCTTTTTGCTTTCCTCCAACAAAAAATGAATAGTGGACACACTTGTGCTTCTGCCCAACACATGCCTGCATCCAAGTTCTTAAAATTCCAAGTACTCAGATTTTGTGAGAACTCAATTGCAAGAACAAAACTTTAATTTTAATTAAATAAAAGAGAGAGCCACCCTTTAGAATATTAGGAAGCAAGTGTGTTTATTGGAGCTACCCTTTTTAAAAGTAGTAGTGATCCAATGCCCTAAAGTTCATGATATTGCTACTGCACTGGTTTGGATCACTACTATAGAATATTTGTGTCTAGTATTTGTACATGTTCTTCACTGATAGATGGCAATGCTCATGAGCATTGCCATCTAACTTTAAACTTGCCAAAGGAACTTGAAACTTGAATACATTATAGCAAAGCATTTCACCACTGCTTTTTTTTAAGCTTGTAAAATATGTTGAACTACTATGCAGATTGTACTAAAATCTTAAGATGAATCTTCTAATTAAGCCACCTGTATCCAGATCCCAGAAGGGCTTCCCTTCAGATCTTCATATTGGGAGAAACTGTTTTAGCTGACCTTAAACATTTTCCTTTGTGCTTCATTTAATTTAAAATCCAATCTTGTTTTTGACAGATTACCATGTCATTGAGACCCAGACTCATCTGAAAGTTGCCAAGGCAGAAGCAAAGTCTATCCATACAGACCTACGCAGTAAACATATGCCTGAAGGAACAGGCAGGAACATTCCCAGAAATGGTAAAGAACCAAAGCTAGATCTTTAGCTGGTATAAATTGGTGTAGCTCCACATAAGTGCAGGCCAATTTACATCAGTAGGGTATCTGTCTCTTACTGTTTACATCCTTTGCCACATATTTGCAAAGTCTCTTTTGTTGTGCTACGTCAGTCCAGTTTGATCAAAATAATTCTGTTCTTCTCACAACAGGCCAGACTGGAGCCTTTGGATTCTTCCACAGAGTGAAGTCCCACAGATTTTTGTCTCTGAACCACATACTTGTTATCTATGCAGTTCTGTAAGTGAACAGTTCTTTACCAAGACCATCAGAGTCTCCTCATACCTTTATTACACCAGTCTTACAACAGGGCTGATTTCAATGGACTTGCACCCCCACCCAGTGTAAAACTAGAAGCATGTTTAAAAGCGGGTTTCTTCATTCCTCCTTGTTTGTGTACCAGTAATAGGATTTTACAGTAAAATGTGTTCTGCTGCATAAAAGCCAGCAGAAGAATACCATTTCTTGTAAACTTTCTAAATTGCTCAAAGAAGTGCTCCAGGGTAGGTGTGGATTTTCTAGCCTATGCCCTAGAGAAACCTCTGTGGTGATTGTGACAGCTAAGTTTAAGAACACTACATAAATGTCCACCCAAATAACACTTAGCACTGCTGTAGACTCTAAGGATGAGATTTTTCAAAGTTACCTGAAACATGTGGGCACCAGATGAATTGAGAGTCCAGTGCTCTAAGGCAGCTTTGAAAATCCCACGCTTGGAATTGTACAGTGCACAAATAACTTTATTCACTGATTTTTAAAATGACAAGTATTATCAAACTTCTTTTTGGATACATCTGTCTGAGGGTACTATGTTCCAACTAACGCAGTTGTCTTGTCCTTTATTTTTCCCCTGCAGTGTCTGTGTCCTAGTCCTATCTACCTTCTACATGAGATATAAAATCAATGTTCTGGAGGAACAGCTAGTCTCCATGGCTTCCTTTGTTGCCTCCCATATTAATGAGTAAGAAGACATCATTTTTAAAGGAGAATAATAATCTTCTGTTTTACACGCTAAGCCCTGCTGGACACCTGTCTTCTTCAAAACCTCATGATAATTGACAACAATTTAGTGCTATGCAGTTCTTGAGCCTGCATTAGTCTCATCTCATAACTTCTTCTGTTTCTCAGGAGCATTGGGGTAAAAGTACTTCAAGAGAATTTAGGTATAACCTGGATTTAAGCAAATTTCAGTTAATTGGGACTAAAGGTGACACAGGGTGTTATGGGACAATCTAGAGTTGGACTGTACCCTCCCTTCAAAGAGGCATATTTCAGAGTTCCTGAAACTGGCTGTTCTGCAAAGGAAACCTGTATTCTCCAGGTGCTATCTGGCTAGCTTTAGACCAGGGGTCTAAAACACACAGCCCACAAGCCACGAGTTATTTCCTGTGGCTCAGCATAGCTCCTCTCACCCCCCGCTCCACCTCCTCCTCCTTCCACCCCCCCCACACCCCAGCACACCATGTCCTCTAGACAGTTCTTTGGCCGCACTTAAGACTTTCCAGGAGGGGGGGGGGAGGAGGGGGGACACAGCGCGCTCAGAGCAGGAGGTGGAGAAGAGGCAGGGCTAGGGTGGAGATTTGGTGAAGGGGTTGGAATAGGGGCAGGGAAGGGGCAGGTCCTCATGGAGTGGGGGTGGGGCCGGGGCAGAGGGGGGCGCTTTTGTATCTTTGTATGAAAAGGTTCAGCAATGCAGCCCTCGGGCCAATGTACTAGTCTTCATGTGGCCCTCGTGGTGATTTGAGTTTGAGATCCCTGCTTTAGACAGGTCAGAACCTGCAGGCAGGTTCATCTGATTGTGTGCACTGTGGGGAAAAGGGTTCCTGAAGGTTTGGGCTCCCTTCATCTTCAGGCTACACCCCTCCTACTGCACCAGTACCCCATTTTGTGATGCAGCACAAAGGAAAGGAAAAGGTTTACTCCCTCAAGAATTTGGACTGCTCTGAGTGCCAGTGTGGCCATCATCAGCATAAATTAGAGCAGGCAAAAAGTCCTTTAATTTACAGCAGCCTCCTGAAGGGCACCTATAGACTGCTACACAGTTCAGAGCAGGCTGGAACCCCCCATAGTGTTGTGCACTATGGGCCTGCCCCCTCCACCAGAAATTGTTAAGGCCACTTATGTCTGCTGTGCGTTCGCTAGGGGAATTTTCCCATGACCCTTGTGGCCCAGTTCCATTCCCTCAATGTTGCAGCAGCATGCAGAGCTCAGGTCAGGGGAAAAATTTGTCCCCAGTGGCTGTTTTCTTGCTTCATAGATTTAGGTCTGATCTACACTAGAAGGGGTTTGCTGGTATAGCTATACTGGTATAATTATATTGGCAACCCCCCCACTGGGGACATAGTTTATATAGATGGGGGGGTGGGGTTGTTTTTTGGGTCTTTTTGCAGGTATACCTTATACCAGTTTTTCAAATAAAATAAGCTATACCAGCTCAAGGACATTTTTGTCATTATAACTGTGCCTACACTAAGGCTTTGTCAGCATAGCTATGTTGGTAGGGGGCTTGATTTTTTTCCCCATACTCCTAACTGACATAGCTCTACAAGCAAAACTTTTAAGTGCAGACCTAGCCTTAAACTGTAAAATATATTAATGGGGAAAGGGGAGAAGCAGCTAGGAAAATACAAGGTTTCAGAGTAGCAGCTATGTTAGTCTGTATTCGCAAAAAGAAAAGGAGTACTGGTGGCACTTTAGAGACTAACAAATTTATTTGAGCATAAGCTTTCATGAGCTACAGCATCCGATGAAGTGAGCTGTAGTTCACGAAAGCTTATGCTCAAATAAATTTGGTGGTCTCTAAGGTGCCACAAGTATTCCTTTTCTTTTTAGGAAAATACAAGTAATTCAGTTAATGTTAATGTCAATATCAATAACCTAATCCACTAACTCATGAATAAAGAAAAGGAGTACTTGTAGCACCTTAGAGACTAACCAATTTATTTGAGCATGAGCTTTCGTGAGCTACAGCCCACTTCATCAGATGCATACATCTGATGAAGTGAGCTGTAGCTCACGAAAGCTCATGCTCAAATAAATTGGTTAGTCTCTAAGGTGCTACAAGTACTCCTTTTCTTTTTGCGAATACAGACTAACACGGCTGTTACTCTGAAACCTAACTCATGAATATTTATTCTTACTGACTAGTATGTACTCTGAATAGGACTATATTGCACTAAAAACATAGAAGATGTCAGATCTAATAAGCATTTATTTCTAGTACAGCCATTGTGGTACTCAGGGATCATTCAGTGCTTAAGGTGCTTGCAGGAGATCAAGTTTATTCTGTGTTTGCTTCCAGTTGGCTGTGCTTAACAAGAGCTTCATGGTGCCCCATCCAGACTCTGTCTGGTAATCTCAGCCATTGAAGGCACAATCCCCAATACCACACCAATAAACTCTCATCTGCACTTTCAGGTGGTTTAAAATAGATTTCCATGCACCAAAACAATGGCCTCAGTTAATGGAAAAGGCAATAAAAAGTAAGTAGTGTGTGGAGACTTTGGATTAACCCTTCGGACCCTCCAAATAAACATTCATCATCCTGGGTAAAAGGCAGTGAGGTACATAGTATATTTATAAGCAATTCACTGACCCTCCTGAGGTACCTAAGCAAACACAGGGCCTGCTCCTCGTTACATCATAGTTCCCTCTCCAGGCCCCATTTCTTTGCTGTTTTTATAAACAAAAAAACAAATAACGTTTCCTTTGCCAACCTCATTCTGCACCTACCTGTTGTCGGGAGGCAACCTAGTCTTCAGCACAGAGCAGCTGGGGGCTCTATGAAAGTCTGACAATACAGATTTTTCCCCAGGCTCCTCCTACATTCTGTCTGCTGGAAGCACATAATTCCCGAGCTCAGGGAAGGAATGGGACCCAGCAGGAGGGAGATAGCTGTCTTTAAGAGAGCCAATTAGAGAAGAAATAGTTATTCCACAGCAGGGCAGAGCACAACTTGCTTCAGCTAGGGCTCCTGACCCAGCACTGGTCTAAGCCCCAGAAACTTAAGATCCTACCCAGACATAGCAACGCCTAGTCGCTGCACCAAAACCATAGCTAGTGGGGTTCACAGGTGGATATAGTAGGGGAAACTGACTAGTTTATTTAGCATTACATTCAAGAATGGACTATATTCTCTCCCCCATGTGACTGTGAACCTTCCTAATCTAGCATGCAAAAAACAGTTAAAAATCAAATAGTAAACCAGCATGCAAAACTGCAGCAGCAGGTGTTGTACCCGGAAATGTTGACACAGTCTGCCCGCTGGCGAAGCACGCCCTGAAAAGCAAGCAGCCAAAGAAAGCAACAAAAAGCTAGCTAAAGCTAAACTTAACACAAGGCAGTGCCGTACCCAGAATGGGTGGGCCTGTCTGCAAAGTATTGAAAGGGCCCAATCTCTTGGGTCAAGTTACATTACACTTCTAACTCCATTTTCCTGAGGCAGTCCTCCATGAATAAAACATTCCATGACAAAAACACTCCAGGCCATTTAGAGAAACTATTGCACCATTTAGGGTCTAATTCTGCTCTCAGTTACTTCTGCAGGTTCCACTGACAGTGGGGGTAGTGTGTATCTAGTAGAGGGCAGAGTTAGGCTCTTGATTATTAATTTAAAGGAGTAAGAAGGGAAAAATGCCTTATCCTTAACTGGAATGCCTGGAAAGCTGTTCATCCACTGGTTTTTCCCTTATTTAGAGTGTGTGAGACTGTTATGGCCCCTTCAAACCACTTTGATAATGGAGGGAGAGTCATTCCAATGTGGTCCAAACTTTTAAAGGATATAGAGTGATCCTAATGTGCACTTTCCACAGTTTTTTTTCCCCACTTTGTTTGGATCCATGTCATAAGACACAAGCATACTTAGAGGGGTTTTACTAATAAAAATGCTTAATTTCCATCTTGGTTTCTGTAGAATTAGTCTGGTAAAGAATGTAGTCTGGGGGCACAAATTACATTACAGAAATACTGTGCTAAATAAGTATCGCACTAACAATGTTCCCATTCAAATCATTCATTGCTCTCTATATAAAATTTCTATTACATGTCCTCATCTTTGCTTTTCTCCTTCACATCTCATTCTTTTGTTTAACAGCCAGCCAGTGCAACAAGGCCTGGGATCCCATCTGCAAATTAATGCTGATGCCCTCTGTGGTGAACTAACAGCTAACCTCATAAAATTGGAAAAGGTAATTTATTGAGATGAATAAAATAAGGCAAGTACTTAAATGCCCAATACTCAGCATACATGATGAGGACAGCAGGTCCTTGTCAAACCACTGATGTTTGTCTTTCCCAAAAGTTTTTGGGAAAGATTTGCTTTTGTAGATCTCAGAACAGCATCTCTGGAAGAGTGTGCACCACCTTCCTGAGGTGAGATGGTTCTTGGACAATGGCATAAATTAATAGTTAAGCCCGAGCACCTGTGTCAGTATATGTGAGTGCTCCCTTATGAGAGGTTGAGAGATCAATTGCCATTTAATTACTCTGAAACCTCCAGTGATTTGTTGTGTTTATGATCAGTTAATGACCTTCATTTTTGGCTGGTAAGGCAACAGATTTTTGATATTACCTTTCTTAGGTGATCTGTTTCTTCAGCCTGTTTTGTCCAAACAATAAAAGCTGCTGGAATGCCAGTGTTCACCTACAAAGTGGGTATTTAGTAATAGCCTGTTACTGCTTGGTAACATGAATGCACCAGCCATTTGTTCCCTGCAGATGACCTCTTCTCTCTTCCATTTACTAATTGCAGAACTAAATGTATTTGCTTTCCCCAGCTGGAAAATCAAACAAAAGAAGGGTAGGCAGGAAGGTATATTTTCAATTGGTTACATTTGTATTTCAAGTGCAGTAAACTGATAATTAAAACTAAGGTGTTTCATTTTTTTCCACTGACACAGCATGTAAGTTATATTTCTACTGTAATAACCCTTTATTTGAATTCCTACATACTAAAATCACATGAGTGTTTGTTTCTAAAATGTTGATAGCTTGCCAAGGTCTTTAATACAGTTTGTTTTTCAAGAGCAAACTTTTCAGGTTGCATGTCACTGAGATTATTTAATATCACTGGTTTCAGAGTAACAGCCGTGTTAGTCTGTATCCACAAAAAGAAAAGGAGTACTTGTGGCACCTTAGAGACTAACCAATTTATTTGAGCATAAGCTTTCATGAGCTACAGCTCACTTCATCGGATGCATTCACATTTTCCACTAATTTTCCACTTTTCTTAATATCCGTGCTAGCTATATGTCAAAGGTTTCAGAACAACTTTGCTACCAAGGAAATGGGGCTTGATTCTTTCCTCAGTGTAAATCTGAAGTCATTCCATTGACTTCAGTGTCAATGTTTACTAGTTTAAAACTAGTGAGTGAGAGGAGATAACTCACTATATGGTAAGATATATTCAGAGACTGCTCCTGCAGTCTTGACCCAAGTACACAGGCCAAATCATTACAATGGGATTTCTCATATAAAGACTAATGCTTCAGTTCAGCAAAGCACATGAGCATGTTCTGAAGTCTCATTGATTTCAGTGGGACTTGAGCCTATGCTTAAAGTTAAATGCTTTGCTCAACTGAGGCCAAAAGAATTTTCCCACCTCCACCCTGTCTCTTCCCTGCCCAGTTCTGCCCCCTCCCCCAAGCACGCTGTGCCCTCACTCCTCTCCCCTCCCACCCCCCTAGTGCCTCCTCACACCATGAAACATCTGATCCCCGGCAGGCAGTAGGCACTGAGAGGGAGGGGGAGACGCTGATTGGTGGGGCCCGCTGGCAGGTCGGAGGCGCTGGGGGAAGGGGAAGGTTCTGGTAGGGGGGCTCCTCCTTGTCCAGCTGCCTGCCGCTCACCTCCCCATCCGCTTCCTCACCCCACTCACCCTCCCGCCTCACCTCCCCGCCTGCCTCCTCACAATTTTATCGCAGTGCGGGGACCCCACAAAGCATGAGACCCAGGGCAGTCGCCCCGATTTGCCGTACTCAAGAGACAGCTCTGTACCTGGCTGATACACATGGATGTTGGGTTGACTTCAGTATAGCAACCATTTTAAAAGGGTATAAATAGCAGTGCCAGAATTAAGTGGTGCATTCAGACTTGCACTGAAGAATGCCTTCTAACTGTGTGAATAAGAAGTAAGTTTATCTGAACCTTCTGTTCTTCTTTAAGATACAAAACAACTTACAAAGACTACTTGAAGATGGTGATTGAAACCTTCATGTTCTGGACTACTTCATACCTCATTCTCCTATGTCTGATAAGCAGCATCAAACACTGCAGTGAACTCTGCAGGCTGGAGTTCGTGTTCCGTTTTTTTTTTTAATCTAAAGCCACACTTAGACTCCTGCAGTAGCTCCTCTATCTCAAGAATCTGGAGAGTGGTTTATTCTTGTGCAATAAAATATATCTGTGTATTCTGACAATAATGTCTTTCCATTGCTAGTCACACATCAGTAGACACAATGTGATTTTTATAGTTTGGGGCCAAATTCTGTTCTTGGTTACTCCAGTGTAAATCTGGAGTAACTCCCTTTATCTCTATTTGTTTTTCCATTTACATGGATGTGACAGAGCAGAATTTGGTCCTGGATGTACAGCTACAGAACCATCATGTGCAAATGCTTGTTGTCTTTTGGAGAGAGCACCTGTCTCTCTAATATTACTGTAGTTATGAATAAACACTCCATTTTTAGTTTTCTTCTCTTCTGCCCCAGTTCCCCAAAATCTATGCATGTGTCAAACAACTTCATGTCTGGTCTCTCTGGGCCTGATTCTCTGAGGTGCTGAGTGCACTCTTCTCCTTATGTGCCAGATTCTCAGCTGGTGTAAATCAGCACAACTCCATTCACTTCATTGGAGCTATACCAGCTTAATGCCAGCTGAGGATCTGGCCCATTGACTTCAATGCAAATTAAGCGCCCAGTAGATGACAAGATCAAGCCCTATGCAATCACTCACAATTTTTACAGAATACCCCACCCACTATGAACTGTAGCTTCTGCAAACTGTTTATAAGGATAGCAGCCCAGGGTGCCACCTAAGCACAGTTTAAAATCTCCAGTATATTTTAAATCTATCATTGTAACACAGTTTGCTCATGATGCCCTCCAGTGCTAACACACTGTCAGCTTTTCAAAGGGTTGCATGAGGTCTTAGCTGTGCAGTTCCCATTCCAGTTACTGGGAGTCCCATAGCTAATTTGGTCACGGAAGATCCCACAGAGTCTATCACCCTTACACAATGGGAACTGTCAAGTTAATGAAAATACAAAGACAGAAGCTATTCTACTGGAGTGAACAGAAGAAAAATAGGTGTCCCTCTTGTTACATTGTTCTGTTTTCACAGAGCCTTAAATGATGAAAGGTTTCAGAGTAACAGCCGTGTTAGTCTGTATTTGCAAAAAGAAAAGGAGTACTTGTGGCACCTTAGAGATGAACAAATTTATTTGAGCATGAGCTTTCGTGAGCTACAGCTCACTTCATCGGATGCATACTGCTGCAGTTTCCATGGTCTCTAAGGTGCCACAAGTACTCCTTTTCTTTTTGTTAAATGATGAAGTAACTGTTGATTTTAACTCTTTGCTTTACCAAGTTGGTTGGTTGGTTTTCATGAGGCAATATTTAGAGTAGCATAAGATAGAGCCTGTAAGTAAACAGATTTTATATATGTATTTTTATAATTTCTGTGAAATGTACCTTATTTTGTTTAATAAAAAATAAACTTTTAAAAAGTTTGGTGCTTACAATTTTGCTTGTACATTCCACATGTGGCAGTTAGTTTTATACCATAAACAAAGCTGATACCGGTTTTTGCAATCTGAAATGTTGCTCTTACTCTGAATCTGTTTTGTGCCTCCAGAATCTGTTTTCAAACCTTCTTCTAATACATCATACTACACAAGGCAGCTAGGGCCTGATCAAAAGTCTAATGCAGGCCATGAGAGTCTTTCCATTGAAGGCTTTCATTCAGATTCTCAGTGTGGATGCATTTTTCCTCATCTCCGGCCACTGGAGAAGATCCTCAGCTGCTGTAAATCCATGTAACACCAGGGCCAATTTACACCAGCTGAGGATTTGCAGGAACAATTTTTATAGTGGGGATGCTGCTGATGGAAACCATGCATGTGGTGGTTCTTACTACTTCAAGCACAGGAGTGTTGGAGCCCCACCAGCACCCCTAGTTCTAGCACCAGTGAGGATCTGGCCAATATTTGTAACATGTTGCTGTGAACCTTGGGTAAACCTGTGCCTGAAGAATGTGGGACAGAAGCCTCTGTCGCCCTCAGCCTGTAGGCAAGGTGCAGCGATCTGCACAGCTGAGCCAGGGGACAGTCGTATATGGTGCACATGGGCACCTCTCCCATTCAGTGGATCTATTTCAGGTTGATGTGGTTTCCCCACAAATACACACCACAGTGAAGAGAGCACCACAAGGCTTGGCTCTTCAGCATGCTGGAAGTTAGAGTTCCACACTCAAGTGGCCACTTTCCATCCCACCTGAAACACAGATGGCAGAAGTTCCACTGAATGTACTCTTTGTGGCTGTAAAGTTTCTGGGAAGGTCTTTCATATTTACTTAGATGTATAAATATTACTAGTTGAGCAAACTGATAAACATCTTAAGATATTTCCACACACAACTTTTCACCTCACATTCCCAAATATGAGCCAAATTCTGCCCTCACTTGTGAGGTCAGTGGAGTTGTATGAGTGCAATGGAGGGCAGTAGCTGACTTCCACCAGAGAATTTAATGCAAGGGACAGGAGAGGCAACTGCCTTATCCAGGGGCTGGCTCAGCCCCTAGTGCAAGTTAGGACACTGCCGATAGCTGTCCTAATGTGATTCCGCTGCTGAGGATTATGGTAGTGAGGAATGGCCAAAACACTGGATCTCCCCAGTCTGATCTCCTCTCACCCTAACACAGCCTGGTCCATCCCACAACAGCCCCTGGAAACACCTGGTCTACAAGAGCTGTAGGCTAGCAGTAGACCTGGGCCTCAGAGTTTGCAGTATGAATTGTGTGCCAATGCTGGTAATAGATTTCTCCATGACGTTACTTGGAGAGATGTCAAAACAGAGATTGTACTAAATTTTTTTGCCTCTTGAGGCAACTTTAAGTAGAGTTGGGCAAAAAAAAAAAAATCAGTGTTTTGGTTTAGTGCTGAAAACGTTTGGGATTTGTCTGCAGATCAGAAAAGTCTGTTTCAGGCAAGCAAAATAACAGTGAGCATATGTTTGTTTTATAACCTTTAGGGCCATGGTTATTGCACTTGTCTGAGATGTGGGAGACCAGGTTTAAATCCCCCCCCTCTGGAGCTGTGCCTAGCACTCAGATTTGCTGTCTCCCAGGTTAGCACTGTAATGACCAGGCTATAGCCTGTTTTAGGAGGCATTGCTCTCAATCTCTCCTGTTGAAGCTGGTCCACTTTGTGGACCTACCTACACATTCAGTGAGCCAAAGAGAGGCAGCACAAGAGAATGACTCTATAGCCGAGTGATGATTTTGAGACACTCACCTGGGAGGGGGCAGTGCTGAGTTCAAGTCCTTGCTCTGTGGGGGGAATTTAAGCTGGGGTTTCCCACATCTCATGCAAATACCCTAACCCCTGGGCTAAAAGTTAAAATGGGGAAAATACATTCGGTCTTATTTTGCTGGCCTGCAATAAGTTTTTTCCAGGGAGAACTAATTGGGTCAAATTCACATAAAGTTTCAAGTCATGTTTTGGCAATTAACTATTTGTCCAAAAAAAAAAATTCATTATCTAGATCTAAGGGCCAAATGTTGCCTTTGGATGTGCCCACATGCCTCCTATTTAATTCAAAGAGAGCCCTCTAAGCAGAGCCCAGGATGGAGAAAAGACTATCACAGTCTGTGTTCAAATACATCTGAACAATATTCCTAAACCTGGTGTCTTTTAAACCTTGTGGAGACTATACAGAGCTGCCTATGTAACTCCATCCAACTGAAAAGCTGACTTTGCATTTGCAGAGGGTATCAATTAAAAGCAATTCTTGAAATTACAAAGCACAGAAAAGTTGTCTCAGAAACAGGGTCAACTGATTTTATTTTGAAGACCATACCAAATAGTTCTACCTATTAACAGCAAGTGCAGTGGGGAGGGGTTTTATGCTAGGCAAGCTCTGATTACACCCACTTTGGAAGAGATCTTTACTGAACTTAGTGATGAGGAACTGCTAATCAGGAGGTTTTTATGGTGTCTTTTAGATTTTAAAATCAAACTAGTTGGACAGGGAAGAAGGACTACACTACTTACCAAACAAATGGATACAAAATGCACTTGCTGGAATTCTCTACAGAGTAATTTTGTTTCCTACAAATTTCATGGGGAAAATGTAATGGAGAAGCCCAAGTTTTCAGAAGTGACTAGTGATTTTAGGTGTCCAATTTGAAGCACCTTTAAAAGGGGCTTTCCAGAAAGTGTTGAACTTCCTATGAAAATCAGACACCCCTAAAGATGTCACAAGCTGCATTCCCAAAACCATCAGCCACTTTTAAAAATTTTGACTGCCTACTGTACTCTTCTAGCAAGGACTTGTTATCCTCACCCTGGGGATGAAATAATGTACAGCATGAGGATTGAGGATGGTCCATAAGGATTCAATGTGGTGTCAACTTCACACCCATGCAGGTGGGGGAAATGGTGCCCCTTGAAAAGGATGCATAACCCTAAAGCAAGTAACAATTGCAAACGATTTACAGTACTTGGGGTAGGAAACTCACAAAAAGTCAAAGCTAATATAACAATAGCTAAGAAGTAAGATGACATCAATTATTTAAGTAAAGAATAGGTTGATCCATAGTACAGGGCTGTCAATATTAATTTTACATAAGTGCCTAGCTAGCCATAACCCTTTGCTCTCACATTATACCAGCCTAACACAGAGCAGCTTCCCAGAACTCTCACTCATGCATACACAAGCCCTCACTTCTCCTGGAGTTCTAGTTATAAATGCAAACTGGCCTATTGGACTTTCCTAGGGCCTGTGTCTATCCCCTCCTCAGGTACATTAGGACTGAAAGAATTTCCATAGCTTTCATCTACAGAACTGATGGGGTAATTGGACAAGACTGATTCTCTTTCCCCTCCCCTGTGCTAGTTCCACAACAGCCTGGAACAGTTTCTGCTTTGTTTTGTTGTTTTGACATAACATGAAAATGGGCTCTATATCCCCCAACACCTCCCTTATGCCCACCAGACAGATCTGTTTACTCTGAAGTGGTAGTAATAGTGTTTTAGGTATCAGTTAATAGAAGTACTGTGCCTTTAAGAACTGATGATTGGGTACTATAAAATCAAGAGAACTTCCTAGCAACTGTTGCCACTCACTGAACACAGCAGATCTATTACTCCCTGATAACTGCAAGTATGTCATGTTTTTGCTATGAAAAAGCTTTGTGGGGATATTTATAATATGCTGAATGAAGTCTTACAGAAGACTGGGAAGGAGAGCAGGTAAGCTAAAGATTTATCACTAACCATACTGTTCTCTAAGCACATATATGAGATAACAGTGACCAGAACAAACAGTTGCAGCAGTAAAGGAGTAATCCAAATTTATTTTAATAGGTCTTTAGGCTGCCAGCTGCCCTTTAACCTACATGTTGTTGTGGCTGTATTAGAGAGATACAAGGTGGGTGAAGAGGATCTCTGTGTAGCTCTTGTCTCTTTAACCCAGATGGCACAATTCAAGATAAGGTGAATCCAAGTAATCTAATTTCTTTCTAATGCAGGAGAAGTAAGTGCTGCGCTGCACTGCTCTGCTGTGGGTGAAGGTCAGAACTCATACTTGTCTTCTGATCCTGGGAGTGTCACTTGCACACTGCCTTCAGCAAATCATTTGTGTCTCAGTTTCTGGTAAATCTGGAATAATGGTGGATTACTTCACAAGTGTGTTATAAATGTTTCAATAGCACTATGGGATTAGAGCCAAAAGGTGTTGTGTAAGTGCCAATTACGGTGCAATGCCCTCTGGGACTGGGAAATAGAGAGCTGCTGGGAAAGGGCCCATAAAATCTCTGCAAGGTTCATTTAGTAAGAACACGTAGGCCCTCTATCTCACAGCTCTGAACCTGGTCTAGTCAATAAAGATCAGATCATCCCCTGCTGCAGTAAAACATGTGAGATTATTGCCAGGTATGTTAAGGCAGAATACTTGAGTTTCACCTGTCTGTTCCATCTGGGTTTTGTCCACCTGTTGGGACCCTTCTGCCCCTGCCTTGGGCCTTACATCTCTATCAGAGTTGCTCATGAAATGACTCTGTGTGTGAGAGAGAGAGAGAGAGAGAGAGAATATTCATCACATTCCTTCTACATCTGAGAGGGGACAGGTTGTAGAACAACTGTTTTGAATACGTACTCAAGCCACTAGCCCAAGCCACTGCCAGTACTGCTGTGTATGTTATTATTTTTAGGCATGTCTATGGCTACTTGACCTGGAATTACACTTTCCACCTGCTGTGTAGACATACCTTTATAGCTATAGATTTTGTAGTCATCTGATAATCTCTAGATGAACCTTTCGTTCGGCACGGTTATTAGTTTATCACCTGACGTGTCAGCTGCAGTTACTGGTGATCTGCTGCACTTAAGAGCATTGAGAGTTTGAAGTTATTAAGGAGGAATAGCCTGCAATAAAGATAATGAAAGAAGGACGGCTAATTATAAGTGAAACTGAAGCAAACAAACTGGGCCTTTTATCACTCTGTCA